CCACTCACGTGCAAATGTATGAGCTGTGGGGCTCAGACCATCATAGGTGAGGGAGAGACCACTTGGAGTTGTAGGTTTTCGTCCCATCACTATCTCGAACGGTGACTTGCTGGTCGACTGGATCTTGTGGAGATTGTGGGAGAATTGCACCATGTCGAGGTGTCGGGACCAACCCTCTTGGTGGGTTGAGACGTAGTGTCGAAGGTAGAGCTCCAAGAGTGAGTTGATCCTCTCGGTTTGTCCATCAGTTTTCGGGTGGAAGGCTGTGGAAAACCGAAGTTGCGTGCCCATAAGCTTGAACAATTCTGTCCAAAACTTGCTGGTGAACCGTCCGTCTCGATCGCTAATGATGGACCGAGGCAATCCTCAATATTTGACCATATGTTTGAAGAAGGCTTGGGTTACTTCGTCGGCAGGGCATTTGCTAGAGACCGTGATGAATGTCCCATACTTATTAAACATGTCCACAACTACAAAGATAGCTCCAAAACCGTTAGAGTTAGGTAACTTGGTAATGAAATCCATAGATACCGATTTTTCAGGGTGGTCCGCAATGAGGAGAGGCTTGAGAAGTCCCGCCGGAGGTCTTTGCTCAATCTTGTCTTGTTGGCCACAAGACACGTCTCAACATAGGCTTCAATGTCCTTCTTCATCTTCAGCCAATAGTAATTCTCGGTTACTAAGGCTAGTGTCCGCTTTTCTCCGGGGTGTCTGGCCCACTTGGAGTCATGGGACTCTTTGAGAATCTCCCGTCTAAGCTCCTCGCTCTTTGGTACATAAATCCTGCGTCCACGAGAATAAACAATACCATCTCTTTCCCAAAACTAACGGGTTTGATGTTGTCGGACAAGTTGGAGGAGGTGGTTGGCCGCGGGATCTTGGGTCATGGCCTGTCGGATCCGATCTGTAAAATCGGTCCTAGGCTCATTTCCCGTGAGTGTGGCCAACTCGGTCTTGTGGGAGAGTGCGTCAGCGACCACGTTTGCTTTGCCCGGCTTGTACTCTAGGGTATAGTCGAACTCCGCGAGGAAATCTTGCCACCGAGCTTGCTTGGGGCTGAGTTTTTTCTGTGTTTGAAAATAACTCGTCGCCACATTGTCCGTCTTGATCACGAACGTTGATCCGAGAAGGTAGTGCCTCCATGTTCGGAGACAATGGATGATGGTCGTCATCTCTTTCTCTTGAACGGTATACTTCTTCTCGGCTTCATTCTATTTCTCCTTATCAATTGCAATGGCTCTGCTAGTGTATATATACAAAAACTCAAATGTACGAACATAAAAAACGTTCGGTTACATAGACTGTATAGATAGAGTATGAATTGACCTTAGATACCATATTGGCTTGACAATGAGCTCTGTCACCAGAGGAAGAGCG